GAGAGAGAGAGAGAGAGAGAGAGAGAGCTGGGATAATTATACTGCTGATGTCTAGTGGTTTATTGAAAGGAATAGTTAAATGTTTAATTTTTCTTGACCAATTTTGCATGCTTATACCTGGTAATCTGAACAACTAATTTGAAGGGAACAATGTTCAAGATAACAACTATTGGTGGATTCCTACTGTCTTGTTTAGTGAAGCTCTGTATCATTTCTAATTTTTTAAAATTATTTTTTATTCTCTTTAATGGTTTGATCAATCTTATATCTGGTAATCTGAGCAACTTCACTGAAGATAACAATATGGAATATAACAACCACTGTTAATTCCTGTCATTTTGTTTTGAAATCCTGTATCATTTTTAGTTTTTGCTTTGTTTTGCTTTTGTCTATGTTGTTGTTATTTTGTTATTGTTCGTTATTTTGTTTAAAATAAAAAAAAATAATAAAAAGCAATGGTAAAATCTAATTTAAAGAAAGAAGCAATGGTAGCTGTGCGTGGCAGCACAGGATCATGGTCGTAACACTCTGGGAAGCTGAGGCAGGAGGATCACAAATTCCAGGCCGGCCCCGGGGAATTTAACATTTTATTGTATTGAAAGCCTGTCTCAGAATAAAAAATAAAAAAGGGCTGGGGTGCAGCTCACTGCAAAGGCCCAGGTTTCCATCTCTAGCAGCCCCAAAAAAGAGGAAGAAAAGGAGGAGGAAGGGGCCAGGGATGTAGCTCAGCGGCACAGCCCTGCCCAGCAAGCGCAAGGTCCTGAGTTTGATTTCTGGTACAAAAAAAAAGACAGAAGAGCCGGGCGTGGTGGCGCACACCTGTAATCCCAGCACTTGGGAGGCTGAGGCAGGAGGACTGCTGTGAGTTCAAGGCCAGCCTGGGTTACAAGGCGAGCTCAAGTTCAGCCTGAACTGCATAGTGAGACCCTGTCTCAAAAAGACAAAAAAACCAAATAAGCAAAAACTAAAAAATAAAAAAGAGACAGGGAGAAGAAGGAGGAGAGGAGGACGAGGGAAGCCGTTGAAGACCACAGAGAAGCCTGAAACTCCAGCTTTGATACAGAAACTCCCCCTTTGATACGGAAACTCTGCGCCACCTGCCTCCCGCCCAAGGAAAAAGGCTGAGAAAGCAAAAGCCCAGGGCGAGCCTCCCTGGCCCCACCTCCGTTTCCTCTGCAGCTGCTGTCCCTCCTGTCTCTGTCCCCAGCCCCGTATCCCTTTCCTCTGGGCTTCCTCATACCTGCTGATCAGACCTGGCCCAGGACGGTGACCTGTGGTGGCCGAGTCTGCCCAAACAAGGGCACCGAGGTCAGTTGGGTTCACATCTAAGCCATTGGATGCTTACCGTAAATTCATCACTTTATTTATTTATGTATTTATTTATTTATTTATACTGGGAATCGAACTCAGGACCTTGCTCTTGCCAGGCAAGCGCTTATGCCACTGAGCTATATCTCCGGCCCAAATTCATCACTTAAAAATACAGCCCGGGGCCAGGGATATAGCCCAATGGTACAAGCACCTGCCTGGCAAGCACAGGGTCCCAAGATCGGTTCCCAGTACAAAAAAAAAAAAGACTGGTGCAATTCACATGTTGGCCATTACTGGCTTGGGCCGGGGATATAGCTCAGTGGCACAAGCACCTGCCTACCAAGTGCAAGGTCCTGAGTTCGAT